AATACAAAGAAAAAAATATGAAGACAGTATAATTTTAGAAACTTTAGTAGTTTCTGATATCTATACTTGAGACCACATAATTTGAAGTAATGCAAAATTCTCTTCATGATAACTGAGGGGGTCATGAGAGGTGAAGCAAATCCATTGCATTTCATCAGGGGGAAGAAAACTATGAATCTCATAATAATCATTGGAAGCTAAGTTGTAAAATGTACAGAAAACTGGCATCCCTGTACTTGAATAATAAGTCTTATGATCTGTACAACCAATAAATTTAAAATCTGAGGAATACAGATTCAATGATCAACTTATTTGTGACTTCTCAACACTTCCCATTCCTGGCTAAGTTATTGTACCCCACATCCTAATAACTAAATAGAAAAGCATTTTAACTTGAAGCAAGCTTTTGCAATATAATACTATATTAAACATCATTGACTATTTCTAGATTAAATTGCATTGTCTTAACTATTTCTAGATTTTCCAGAGAATGAGAGGGTTGCAGAATTATTAAACATTTCATCATGATTAACTTCTATCCCTGTGGTTTAAATATACCCATATTAAATATGGTCACATTATACAGAACACCTGGCACCTTAGCTATATACTGATTATCTGAAGAAGTTAGGATGTTGTGGGAGCCCATCTAAAATAGGAGGTCATTCTTTAAAAGTTTTCACCTAAGCAAGTATAATTCTGCACTTTCTAATGTTAAATAGGGTGATGGCTATTCTTTGTTGTCAACTTGACTATATCTTGAATTTAATTAAAACACAAACACAAAAATAGAGCATGCCCATGAGGGATTTTTGCTTAATTCGAAGTGGAAATATCCACTTCTAATATGGATCTTTGAGGTTCGAACACACAACTTTAATCCAGATTTTTGAGGTGGGAAGACTTGCTTCTAGTCTTGGTCATGCCTTTTGCTGGAAGCCTACATAGGGATATGAAAGAAGGGAATTTTTGCTTTTCGCCTATTTGTTAGCAGGTGTATATCTTCACTAGCATTAGAGCCTACTTCTTCCTGATTCCAGCATATACTGAAATAAGCTGAAACATCAGCCTCTGCACTAAACAACTACAGGATACTTGGACCTTCCTTTCATAGACAGCCATTGTTGGATTAGATGAACCAAAGCCTGTAAGTAATTCAATATAAATCTCTTTATATGTAGTGAGATTCATTCCTTAAGTTGCATTACCATAGAGAACTCCTACTAACACAAAGTGTAATAGTTTTGAGACACTATTTAGAAATAGCGTATTGTTTAGCATAAAGAATATATGTGAATGTATTAAAAGTTTCAAAGCTTTCTTTAACTATGGCCATTGAAAAATTATTGTAAACCAAATAATTAAATATATGTGCAATTCTATAATATATATTATATATATATGTACAATATTTTGTGAGCAGACAATTTCAAATTAAATTATTTTCAGTAGAAAATTTTAGTTTTTGGATGTGCTGTTAAATACCTAGGAAAATGATACCTTGATAGAGGCAGCCAATATGGGAATCCTGGCAATAGGGAAATTCCCAGGAATCCACAAGGATGACCCTAACTAAGTAATAGTGGAGTGGCTACCTTAAATGTCCTTCCCCTACAATGAGATTGATGACTATTTTAAATGTCATTATTGAGCCTTTATCCAGTACCTGACAGAAGAAGGAGCAGAAGCAGAGATCCACAGCTAGGTATTGAGCCAAACTCCTGAAGTCTAGTTGTAGACAGGGAGGATTGATGAAGAGCAAAGGAGTGTAGACCATTCTGGGGAAACCCACAGAAGCAGCTGACCTGAGCAAGCAGGAGCTCACTGATACAGCTGGGGAACCAGTACAGAATCAAACCAGGCCCCCCCTACATAAGGGTGTCAATTGGTGGTCCTGGGCAGACTATGGGGCCCTTGGCGGTGGTACCAGTATTTATCCCTAGTGCATGAAATAGGTTTTTAGAGCCTATTTCCTATGGAGGAATACTCTTGAAGTCTAGACACATGGGGGGGGGGAATCTTTGGTCCTGCCCCAAATGATGTGACAGACATTGATGATCCACCATGGGAGGCTTCACCATCCCTGAGGAGTGGCTAGGGGGTAGGAAGCAGACATGGTGGTGGAGTGAGAGGACAGGAAAGACAGGAACTGGTATTGGTATGTAAAATAAGATTGCTTTTAGAACAAAATATTTAAAAAAAAAGAAATATATATGTTAACATTGTTTTATGATTTTAAGGAATCCTTTGAGAAATATTGTTAAAATTTCAAAATATTACATATACATATGTAATTTCAAAATTACATATACTAGATTTATAAAACTGTTAGAGAACATGGGAAACTATTATTTTAGGTACTTTTCTACATGCTCACATATTGCTATAACTGAATGCATGGTCATTCTTTCATTCTCTTTCCAGTTTGAGAAATCATTATACACTAATACAGTCAGATTCTATTCTCCCACCATGCTCTGTCACACACAACCTAATCTTATTTCCTTTCTGTTAATCCACCTTTCCCTTGCTTTTATACTTCTTCTTCCCAGGAGTTACTTTTATTGACCAAGAAAATCTAAATGATATTAGAAATATTTCCTGTTACTCTATAAAACACATTTTACAAATATTTGTGTTTAATATAATCCTACCATTTAATTATCCCTTAAAAGTATATTATATTAAATTGAATGCAAGCAAGTATCACTTGTATTTAAGAAACCTCTAGGACTATCAGTTTTTGAAAAATATTTTAATTTTTATTTAGCTAATCAGTTTTTCATTCCTGGCGTACTGCAAAATTTTCATCTTGAATGAATAACCATTTTTATTTCTGTATTTTCACTAAGTACATTTTTATTCATCTAGCACACAAAACATATTGATTAGGAAATATCAGAATATCTGCTGTAGCTAATAAAATTTTAAGTCAGTTAATCACATTTTAGAAAACAAGAATTGAGAAATTTAAAATTTAACTTAAAATATACTACAAGTTTTTTGCATAAAAAATAAAATGTGTCATTAAACTGGGTGCTTGAAAATACAATCATCAAAGCTAACTACAAAGCACACTTCCTGTGGCATTGGAACTTGATAAGTATTCAGCCATGGTAGCACCAAAAAGAAGAAGACTTCTTAAAATTTCTTGAACTGGTATTTTATGTGGAAATGGTACTTCTTTGACCTAAAGTAGTGATGCTGAGAAAATCAGTATTTTAAAGTTGATTTTGCCTTGATTTTATGGAATGTAAGATGACATCTAGGCATAAAGTTACAACCAATAACATATCTTCTTTGATGGCAAATCTTAAATTATAGGATAGATAGGATAAATATGCCATGGCTTCTGGATGAACATTTTACATATTGAAAGTTCAATTCATACATCCAGTAGTCAGAAGATGTCTGTATATCAGAATACCATAATGTGTTATTGTTCATTGATAATGTCCCTAAATTAATAAAAATCAGTCTCTCATTTAACTTATCACTAAGTAGTATCTTACAAATATGGTGTTTAGAGTGCATGTGAGAAGGCAGGGAGGGTTAAAGGGAGGGAAGGAGGGAGTAATGGAGGGAGGGAGGGAGAGGGAACTGGGATCAACATGTAAAATAATAAATTAAATTAAAAAATATGCTTTGACTCCAAAATTTAAGTTGAAGGACAAGTTACTGGGGAAAAGGATTTCTATTTTTGTTTCCACAGAAAATGAAAAGATGTGGATTCCTTCCAGACTAATGTGGTTTGATCACGCCAGACCGCCTGAAACAGAGTACAAGGTGATCCTACATTCAAAACAGCTGGAGAAAACAGCCCTACAGACTACAGCCAGGATATCTGAATCTTCAAATCCCCTATGACAGCACCCCTTACCAGCAGGAAGTAGTTTGGAAAGAACGACGCCCAAATTCCCAAATATTGTGTATAAATGTTTGTTTTCATTTAATTGGACTTTGTTATATAAAATTAAATAAAATAATAATAATTAAAAAAAAAGAAAAGAAAAGATCACTGAAAGTACTGAATTTTTTCTCATGGAAGAACATCTTAGTAAGTTTTCTTTATTAACAAGATGATATTGTCTAATAACATTAGAATCCGCTATGGGTGAAAGAGTTAAAGATTTTACTTTAGAACCCTGAGAATGTAGCATTATAGTCTGCTTTTTCCAAACTCAGGTAACAGTTCCCATGACATAATACTTGTGATGATGACTGGGACTATTGTCATAAGTCATCATAGAGGCAGATTCCAATGCTTTCTTGTGTTTAGAAATTATGTTCACCTAGTGAGTTGAATTCTTAGATCAGAGAGTTCCATGCTCATTAGTGTAAAAAGAACCTACATAGATATACAACTATTCATCAGCTCAAAATGGCCTGCAGACTTTCTCCAACATTTACATATTTATAATTCCAAGATTGCAACTTGAAAATAGATGTGTTTGGAGATTTCATAGCACCTAACAATTATTCTATTTTTATAAGTTGATTTGGCAAAAAAAAAGGCCTCAATCCATATATCTTTTAATAAAATAGAAAAAAAAGATCATAACTTGCCATGAAAATCCAGCTGTGGTGTAAAGTATGAAATTAAACAGCAAATAAAGCAGTCTGTACAAATTAATTTTAAAAAGAATTCCACATTAACAAAGCAACAAAAATGTAGATTTGCAACATAAAACATACTACATAAATAATAAATATGATAAGTATTAAGTAGAAAAGAAATTACTTCAGAAATGTATGTTTAATGAAATATTTCATTAAGACATACCTCCCCTGTCATTATTCTATGGATGTTTGCCCTCACAAAGCCTTAACTTCTCTTTAAAGTAAAAATATACTTCGAGTTATAGTTAATCTTTTAAGTCTTTACTTTCTGCATGCTGAGGACATTCTCTCATAGGATGTCATCTATTAAGACCTCAGCTGTGGATGCAATTGACAGAACTAAGTCTAAAATATATAGTTGGGTTGGACATGACACTTACCTGCTTGGTTTGTGGTTACATTTACAGACACATATTGCCGGGTCTCTGGGTTCAAGTCGGACACTCCATTCACTGCCTCAATTTCAAAGGTATAGTTTGTGTGAGCAAGTAGGTCCACCATCATGACAGAGGTATTTTTCAGGCCGATTTGCTGGGGGAGGTACCTGACTTGACCTCCACACTCCTCACACACACCTGCATGGGAGCTGCACTTCTTGCATGCAATATAATATGACACATCTTTCCGTCCACCAGTGTCAGCAGGCGGAATCCACTCCAGAAAGACACTAGTTTCATTAACATTTGAGATGGCATTCCGAGGAGGTGAGGGGGGTCCTGGTTTGCAAAGTAAAGTGAGAAAAACATATTTAAGATGATATAAATTAGTGTCTTTGACCGTAATTAATCCCTGGCCCGAAGAAAAACTAAATTTATAAGTAGGTATTATGTCATATTTTATAATTTTAAACGTTTAAAGTTTAATAAAATAGTGGTGTTTAGGCACTACAAAAAAATCAATTTTTTGGACTGTTAAAAATGTATTTAATAGAGTCAGTTGTTTTTCTTAATATGTATGTTCATAGCCTGGGAGTAAACCTATGTATACTGACAGATTTGTTACATAAAATTTATGTTTAAAAACATAGTAAATTCAATTCTTTGTTCATATAGTAGCATGCTTCCTTTGAGAAAATTGGAAGGAAATATGAAATCTATGTTAAACAACTGTATAGTAGGAAGAGGGCTTTTCTGGATGGCTCTTGAAAATGAATTCTATTAGAAGTAATTGAATGTGTAGAAAGTGAACAGAATTTGAAGCTCTCCTGAAGGAACACAGCTCAGGGATAAAAGCTGAAGGTCAAGCCCACTGTTTATAAACTAGGTTCTTTCACTTATAACAATTCAGTTTCAGAACTTTAATTGAGGTTAGAAATTCTAGTAAATGCGATAGAAACTGAGTGCAAAGTATTCAGTTTTACAGAATATTTTCAATCTTGTCGCCTACCACAATATGAAAAGACTCTTATCATTTTAGAATAATACTATGAGAGCTTTCCTAACTCCATGTAGTTTTTATTACGCACTTCATTTTTATACATAGACAGATTATATTGCTTAGAAGCTTGTCAATTTTATGATAGCAACAGTCAATATCATTTTAACTCTTTCAGAATCTATTTATTCATATAGGAAATGGTATTAAAATGAATTTCTCAAAACTTAAATTTTAAATATTTAAATTTTATGTCATCTTTAAATGTTATGTGATCATGTGTTCTTGAACAAGCTTGAACTTTTGTTTGAGATCTAATGTTTGTCTTAGTTAACATCAAAGTGAGTATCTCTACCTTGTCAAAGACTGAATCAGTACATCTCCCTAATGGTAAAGTAATAGAGTCTTATTGGATTTGAACGGATTGTAAGCATGAAGCAAACTCTTTAAAAAAATACTCAGCAATTGCTAAGTTAGCCTAATATCTGTGTGCTCCAAATATAAGGCTCAATGTTTTTATTATCAACCCAACATTAATCCATCATCTTTGATGCACATATTTACAAATAATTTTAAAAGAAAACTAGTATTTAAGAGCTTTTTATTAATTATTACATTTAAATAGAACAACTCTATATCTAGGGACTTGAATTGCTTTCCTCTAACACTCCCCAAAATGCCCATCACTGAATCTTAGGAAATGTTATGTGCATTCAGCCTTCCATATTTCTATTTCAACAATTGCTTTTAACTCACAAACATTTCTAAAGTTATAAATAGAAGTATTGTTATTTATTACAAACTTCGGATTATTTAATAGAAAAATATTGGATATACTTTAATTTCATGTTAAAAAGGGGGGCTTAACATTTGAGAAAGAAGAAAAAATGTGTCAAATTCCATTTTATTGCAACCATCTGAATTGTACTTGCATTTCTTTATTTGCCCTAAATCAACAAAATTACACCTGTCTGGCTTCTTTTTACCAATAACTCTGATAATAATGCATCCACAACTGTAGGTCACATGTTAAAAAGAAAACAAAATTTTATGAAGTAGAAGTAAAATCAAAGGAATTTATAGAGCCTACATCTAAACCATCACAGTACCCCAACAGTAGATAAGATGTTTGCACCACCACATTGCTGAAAGAAGGATTTGTGTCTCAAGTATAGTCATCAGATTCTTGGCTTTTCTTTCTGTTTGATTTTTGTTCTACAGCTTCATAAATCTCTGTTCTTAGGGTTTATAGATTAAGAGGAGTTAAAATCATGAATACAATTGCAAAGTGCCAATGACAGAACAAAGTTTAGGATATTCCTCTCAACATCAGACAACCTATGAGGGGATTATGAGTGGTTGTGGTACTCTGAATCAAATTGAAAACACACACACACACTCAACTTAGTATTTTGTGAGCAATGACAGTGAATTAGTCCTCTGAACACCACAGTAGCAATTCACAGAGCTGAAGATGGAGAAAACATGAAGTCTCTGGAATTTATTTCCAAAGGAGTATTAATTAAGTAGCTCTTATCACCAAATCGTGGCTAGCCTCTGAGTCCCAAAATAAAAAAAAAAAAAAAGAACATATTTATGTTAAAAGGAAGTACACTCTGGCAAAATCAGTTAAGTCTACTAATGCATAGAGCTTTGTAAAATGGATGAGATGACCCAGTGCCCCTGTTTACTGATACTCCTGTTTCCTATTGTTTAATAATTCTTACATCTTACATATTAAATAGGTTGAATTCCACTGTAACAAAACATATTGTTATTCTAGTAAACTGTAAAGAAAAAATTGTGTGTACTACTTTCACTTATTGTGAAGGTATTCTGTGATTAATAATCACTTTCAATAAATCATTAGCCTTGAATTACAAAGAATGATTTTTCATTTGTGCATGAAATACAGCCACTGAAATTTGTTTAAAATCAACTTGTAATTATGTTTTATAAGGTCATCTATACTATTTTCTGTCTATATATCGATTATAACATTTATAATATTGTGAAAGTTAAATAACTAAATAGTTTACACACATTACCTGGAAACTAACAAGTAAGGTGAATGGATGCCCCGAGTGGTACAGATTGTGGAGAAATATTCACTTTTTTCTTTTGACTTACATTTTCCCACTTATTACAGACACTTTACCAGTGAAAAACATCTGCAAGCAAATGTATAAATAGCCACAATGGTGTCCTTTGAATATGTTAAAATTAGAAATATGAAAAATTTGACTCATTGTGCATCTATTCACAAGAAACACTGAAATTAATGCTTAATACATATCTACACTGATTATATGATCACAAGTACAACTTTGATAATGGTCATAACTGACTAAAAAGATTGCAGTTGCATGAAAACCTAAGTTGGATATTGGGTTTTACATAGTATTATAATCTTATTTGCCACCTCGATTGTCATGCTCTCAAAGATGTCTGCATATTTTGGCAAAGGCCTCTGGATAACCCTACAGGTTAGTCATATAGGCTAGAACTTGTTGAAGTTGCCATTTGTTGTGTAAATCATTAGTTCAGAAAACTGTCTTCCAAAGAAGTATGTAACAAATATGATGTGAAAAGACAAAAAGATTTGCTGAAGTCAAGAATATGAAATTAAGCCACAATATAAAAAGGAATCATTGTTTTCTTATCACTTCAGACGCTGCGTGTAAAGTGATGGGTGGGACGGATGCTCTGACAGTCAGTCAAAAGAGGACATTTGTTTTTAATGCCTATGAAAGGAATTTAAATTGTGGAAAAGACCTGCACTGAGAAGGATACACATGCCTGTTTTAAAGGGAAGTGTTAACAAAACACAACAGGCTCCATCATGCTGCTTTTCCAAACTGGTGAAAGGGATCATCTCCAAATAGCCATGGGATTCCTTACTTGTGCATGCCATTGTGGGTGGATCAGATTCCCTCCTGAAATAATCCTTTTCACAGACACAGGAGGTGGAAGCTTCCTCATGGCTGTAACTGTGAGGTGGACATTTGCTGCAGCTCTGGTTGTGAGGAAAGGCTTTGAAGAACCCAGGTCTGCACACTGTCAAGAGAAATGAGAGACTAAGCTTTTCCTGGGAATAGAGGCAGTGCTTGTTCGTGAATAATGTATCATTTTGAGTAGCATATACACAAGTTACAGAGAAGACAATCTTTGCATCAATTTCAAGAATTTTTCAAAGCTTCCTGATCACACATATCAGACCATCCAGATAATCAAATGTTCAAATTAACATGTGTGGAATTTTAATTATATTACTGGCGCTGGAAAAACATTTTTTTATATAAAAAACACATACTTGTATGTGATTACAATGGGAGTAAGCCAAGAAGTATAATCTTTATTCTTTATTAGTGAAATCATATTAAAGAAATACAGCTATCATATATAATTCTAGACTGACATGATACAACAGTTTCCAACTTTTATTGTTAAAATTGTAATTTAAGGGCTATGGAGCTGGCTCACCTATAAAATACGTGTCATGTAAGTATGAGGACAATAGTTAGGGTCTCCATGTAAATGGTTGGTGGGCAGAATGCATTGCTACTAATCCTGGTGGTCTTAAGGAAATATGAGAAGAACCCAGAACAAATTGGGTAGCTAGACTTGCCAAATACATGAACTCTGGATTCAGCAAAAAATCCTTTTTTAACATACAAGATAGAAAGTAAATAACCTTGGGCTTCCTCATTCAGGAATACAATCACAAGAATGAATAAATACATATGCAAACCACACACACACAGATACACATACTTACACATACAAATATACAAAATGTTTGAGAACTTGACTTAATGAGTATACACTAAAAATTTCTCAAGTTTTAATATAATGCATAATTATCTAAAATATTTTCTATACAATACAGAAGTTTCAAGAGTATTTTATTTTGGTCATATTTTTTGCATTTTAAAGATGTGTTTTCGGTTACTAACTCTGGGTTTATGTTTTCAAATATAGTAAATTCATAATAATAAAAATGGGAACCATCTCTTGTTACTCCATTTCACCTTCAGGGCAGTTACCCCAATGTTTCATCATAAAAGATGACAGTAAGTGCAGGGGATACTTACGGAAGTTGGTGACAGAGCCTGAAGACTGCCAATGCATTACACAGAATCAAATAGAAAGTGTTTTCTGATATTTGTTTTAGTGTTTTTGGTCATGTAAGCAAGTTCTTGTGAAATAGCTCTTTGAGTGCACAAATTGCATGCCATTATGTTAATGTATTCCTTTTCCCCCAGTGGCTTATAAACTCCAATATCAATATTCCTATTGCTCATATTTGGTCAACTGTAAGCCACTGTATTGAAGTTTTGAATAACTGACTTATTTTACTTGTAGCTAATATATTTTACTTTTTCCTAGTTTCAAGATTCTCTACATAGGCTGAGATGTTTATTGAAGTATCAGTGCAATTTTGTTGAAGCTCATAGATGCATTTATATTTCAATAGGATAGACATAATGAGTCAGGGTAATTTTCATTTGCTATGAACTCAGGTTTTAGAAATCCATGCTGAGCCATTTTGCCATCACTCTAAATAATCAGGAATTGGCAAAATAAGGAGGTACTATTTTTTTCAGTCCATCTAATTATGGTGAGAGTGAAGTCTTAATGCTCTTACAAATTCATAGCAAATGTGAAAGCATTTGAGAGATAAGAAGGGCTTTTTGATAGTATTAGGACATTCAAGTAGTTAAATGATTAGAAGATTTAAATATTATTTTACTTATAATAGGATTGCTGTAGCTGCCAACAGAATACTTAGCTGTTATCCAATTTTTCTTCATTTTATCCTTTTGGTACAACAATTCTTACTTCAAACCACTTGCTTTCAAAGGCATGAAGTGCAAATCCACATATACTTCATATCTGATTCATGTTTTCTTGGAAAAAACCCCTTTTGGCTGAGGGTCCCAAGAACAGACAAAAGAATCAGACAGCCCCTACTCCTGCTTTTAATAGTTAAACAAGAACACCAAGTTACGAAAAATTGTACATATATGCAGAGGACCTAACTCAAATCTATGCAGGCTCCCTGATTTATGGTTCAATCTCTGTGAGCCCCTTCCTGCCCTGGTTGGTTGAGTCTGTAGGCTTTGTCAATGTGATGCCCTCTGCTCCTCTGGATTCTACAACACCATCTTCCTTAGGGTGTTCTGAGTTATTCCTAATGTTTGACTGTGGGTCTCTGCATCTGTTGCCTTCAGTTTCAGTTATTGTATGAAACAGTAGCTGCTTATGCTAGGCTAAAGTCTATGGGTATAGAAGAGTATTATTAAGAATCATTTCATTGACTATTTTTCCCTAGTCATTCTATCCTCTTCTATGGGCTATCCAGCCTCTAGTTCCTGGCTCTCCAGCATCTATCACAGATACCCTCTGTGAGTATGGGCTCAAGTTGGACCAATCATCAACTGGCAACTCCAAGTTCTGTGCCACCATTACCTCCACACATCTAGTATGCAGAGCAAATTTTAGGTTAAAATGTGTTGTGTCTGGGTTGATGTTTTAGTTCCACCACTAGTAGCATTGCCTAGTTTCAGAAGATGGCCCGTTCAGGATCTGGATCCCCTGTTAATAGGAGTCTTCTTAGGATCTCACTGATAGATTCCAGGCAGTTTCCATTTTTCTTGGTTTACATATTCCCAAGTAATTCTTCCCCCATTCCAATCTTCTTTCTCATGACTCTCTTCCTCCATCAACCCTTGATATGATCCCTCCTGTTCCCATCCCTGTCTCCCCAGGCCATCCATGATATCATATCCAGTGTGTGTGTGTGTGTGTGTGTGTGTGTGTGTATAAATAAATGATATGTGTGAGTGACTGCAGGTCAGAGAACAACCAACAGGAGCCATTTCTTTCTCCAGCATGTTATTTCCGTATCACTACCCCAACTCCTGTTTTTATTGAGTAACTTTTAACACAGAAGCTTTATATGATAATGTATATATCACTGATGTTAAATCTCTATTGTGGAAAGTATGGATTAGGGAAATAAACAGTGTATGCAACATGTAGCTTTTAAAAAATTACTTTCTTTCTTTTTTTGCACTAATTTATTGAAATTCTTTGAGAATGCCAGATGAGCCAAACATTGTGCATGACAATGGATTATAAAATTTATCAAAATTTCTATAGAGAATCTAACAGACTTAATTGAGTTGTTATTCAAACATATGACTATGACTTTTGGAATAAATTTATACCACCCACAACTATGAGAAAAGGCTCACCCAATCAGTTCAGTGAGATGACTTTATGTATTAAGGCTTCTTTCAGATTGGATCTGCTAATCTGGGTTTGATCATTGGACGTCACATGATATTGGTAGAGAATCTACTTTCATAGTCTTCTTTTGCCTTCTAAACTCTCTACCACGCATATGCATGCATACATGCATACACACACACAGAGAGAGAGAGAGAGAGAGAGAGAGAGAGAGAGAGATAGATAGAGAGAGAGAGAGAGAGAGAGACAGAGAGAAAATTTGATAAAAAGAAGGCTCACCCTGAAAGGTGAGCATGAATCTATGCTACTATTCATTCCAAATAAGAAAGTCATTCAATTGTATACGGCGTAGTAAAGTTTTCGAGAAAGAAGTTTTCTGAAAATATGGAGTAAGGTATAGAACATATAAGGAGAATGGATGGAACAGAATGAATTCAAAATTTTATTAAAAAAAAAGAGTAAGAAGAAAAATTGACATCAGGAAGATGTCATTCACTGTAAGTTGTACTGAAAATGTCTGTCTATCAGATTGGCAAACATTTGATATTAAAAGCTTTTAGGAAAACATTGTACTGTATTTAATGCATTATTTAGGTTAATGTGGATAAAACCTAACTAAAAACAGAGGGGAAATTCTGTGGTTTAGTAGTAGTCAAGAAAATTATTTCAAGTTCATAATTACTCATTCCCTTTAAATCATAACTCTGAAACTCAGTACCACATGCCATGAGAAGGCAATCATGCTGGTCGTTAAACCGGGCTAAGTACCACTGACATGACAATCATGTTGTAGCTAATTCCTGGCTTACTCTGTTTTTAAACAAGAACATAAATCTTTTGCAACTGCTTATCTAGTTTTTTTTTTCAAAAGTGTTATAAGCGCTGTTTGTCAGGCAACAGTCATGTAATATGTCTCTGTGTTGAAAGAATAAAAGTCATTAGGAAGATTATTCTTACCTTAAATCACCAGCCTATCCATGGCTGTATTTATCCTACATACCTTTTGTCATGTAAAATAAAATCTATTCTAACTGACAAGAAATAGCTGTGTTTGAATCTGGAACCTGTTCTCTACTTTCTGAGATAAACTTGTTAAGTAACCACAAACTTTTTGGCACAAAAAGTCAGCACCTATGTGTGTAGCTGCTGCTTTGTTTTGTTCTGGCATGTGGATACAATTCTTTGAAACATTTCCCTGTACACATAACGAAGATAATTACATAAATTATTATCCTACATATATACTTCTTCACTTTAATTCACAGGTGACTACACTCTCCACTGAAATAGTTCATGTGAAACTGCTTCTCATTGAGATTGTGTTTCCCACTAGTTCCCAGCAGCTTGGAAGCATGCTTGCTTCCAGGAAATGGCGTTATTTATAAACAGCATGTGTCCTAAACATTTCTGTCCACCTCTTCATTTAAACACTTTCATATGAGTTATCCTATTACAATCTCCATCCACACTAGTTGGATATAATTTCCCTGGACTTGACAAACTTCTTTCAGTCTCTTAACACTAAAAATAAAGTATTTCCGGTTAAAGTGAGAATGAGTATACTAGTAGTAAAAGCTGACCACCAAAAATGATACAGATTTAAAATGAAGGCCTATATAAGACAACGTGTTTGACTTTTTTTAGCATGAGCTTTCATTATATTATTTTTTGCTTATTGTTTGAGAAATTTTACACATGCATTAATGTTTCTATAAATCCCATCTCCCTCACCCTTCCCTTCAACTTCTCCCATTTTCTTTGACCACTTTTTCCTCCTAATAATACCTTATTCTTGTTTAGAT